GTGTTATTCATTCCGTAGATATGTGTATTCATCATACAAATATATACAAATATATATCTATTCTTCATGTTATTATTGTTATTCATCTTGAATGGGATCATTATTCATCAACATTTGCTTCGTTATTCATCTTTGTAGATATCTATATTCATTTCAAAATTTTAAATTTATTTATCCATAACGTTGTCACTATAAGAACGCCATTATTCACCCACAATATTATCATTATTCATCGATAAGAATACCATTATTCATCTGAACAAACATCGTTATCTATTAAAATCTTCCATATTTGATGCTTAATTCTCCAGATTTCTTTGATAATCAATTCAAATTTTTTGCTCCAATTGATTTTTCGAATTTATAAGTCTCGATAATGAATCATATTCAATTTTACGCAAATAAAATCCATAGCTATAAAAAAAAATTCTCATAAAATAAAATAATATAAAAGATAACATGATAAGCAAAAAAGAAAACGGTTTAAAATTAAATGTGTAAGAAAAATAGGATGAGAATTGGATGATTTAATGCATGTATAACTGAAAATTAGGAAAAAAAATAAATCAAGTTGTATAGAAAGAGAGTGTATTACACATGCCCATAAGGTACACCTTGCCTATACCTAGGTGCTTGTTATTATTTGCCCAAATGGAAAACCCTATCTACTTTTATCTTCCTTTTTTTTTTTTTTTGGTTTTTACTTGGACAGTTTAAATTTTAAATTAAAAAGTCCAGTTTCTAAAATCAAATTTTCAATAGTAGACCATTGTTATATGACAAAAGTAGGGAAAAATATATACTTTTAGAGATTTCGAGGCTTGCAAGGTAAGGTTGATCTCACCCACAAGAAAAATGAATTTGATTTGTTGATCATACCTAAAATACTAAATATATAACATTTTTTGTGTCCATAAAAATAGTCCATATTATAAAGTATAAAATAATACAAATTTACAATTTATGATGTAGGTTACGTTTACGGGACTGGGAGTCTATGCTTTTGAATGTAAATGTGATGGGAGAAATCTCAGGCATGCGTATAAGAAATTTTGAGCCACGAGTACAAAGAAGAGTCAGGGAGAGAGAATCCACACAATTTACTCAATAATTAAGTTTGACGTTAGATTTAGAACTAGACCAGATCGTTTTAATGGTCTCCAAAATTCCAAACACAAGTTTGCCAAATTGACTCGAAAGGAATAATATTTTATGGAAAAAGATAGTATTTCAAATTGACTCCAAAATTTCGAAAACATCATTAATTCATCGGTCCAGCACAACTAAATTTTCATTACAAATTGTTAGTTTAGATCTTAAAACGTTTCCATTGGGCAACAGTTTCTGGCTTTCTGCTTTCAAGGCCAAATCTATCTCTTAGATCCGTAGGAAAAAAAAAAAAGGCACTCTGTTACTAATTTTAAAGTTTGAAAATGTGAATTATATCAAAATGAGAGTTAAATACTCTTTTCAAACGAAGCGAATTACTTGGTCCGTACGTATTGCAAGTTGGAAGTACAAAATTCAACACGTCAACTTATACCTGTCCCCATTACCCCCCCCCCCCCGGCCGCGTAAAGACCTGTCCTTGGACTAAATGGGGGCACTACGATCACTCACAATTTTCAGATGTAGGGTAGGTTGTTAATTAAGTTCTTTTTAAGAAGATAGAACGTTTAGTCTATAATATATAGTTTTGAATTAATAAGTAGCTTTCAGATACCTTAATTGGTCCAACAACTTTCGTAATTTCATACCTAAGGGAACAAGCTGGTGAGATTGTTCTCCTCCGCCTGGTTTTTCATAACTACTAGTAGAGAAATGCTAAACTAAGCTCTACAAATAATAATAACAATAACAATAATAATCTTTTTGTAATGGAAGAAACATTAGTTTTCTTTTTTTTCTAAAAAAGAAAATACCCATAATCTCTCTTCCCATGCTAATTGGATTCTATAACTGAATCTTTAAGAAGTCAACGTAGAATCGTACTATGTGGTATATTGTTCTTCTGGTGTAAATGTTGCATAATTTCTGTGAAATTGTTGGTTCCGTTCCGCCACTACTCATTCAATTCGGATTTTTTCACCACCCGAATACCCTCGAAATGTTACAGTAGTTGTACTTATATATATGCTCATTGCCAAAAGAAGATACGATCGAGTCATATATATCTAGTTCAATAAATTAAGTAGCCCCATCTTTTAGAATTTCATGTTGACAACTTGACTTTGATGAAACTGTTAGCTGGCCATGCATGGTGAAGACACGTTGAAAATGAAGGGTCTAGATTAGACAAACAAAACAATATATAATACACAAACCCAACTTCTTGGTTTACATATGGAGTGTTTTCGTACGTACGTACCGCAGTTAATTTAATAATGGATAGCAATGTATTTAAAAGTAATTTAAAGGAGTTTTGTATCTTCAGTAACGAATTGTTAGGCAATTTCGCAACGTCGACGGATCGCCATCGAGGTTATATTGGGCCTGGAGGAGATCGTGGTTTCCCTACACTGCAAAGTTCCAAATTCCAAATTAAACACGTTAAATAACAGAAGTAAAGACACAAGAGACAACAATTATTATTACTAACTAATTTCCCTCTCTGCTAGAACATCCAAATTGTGAAGTTGATTCAATATTATTCGCCGACTCGCAGTATGGTGCGACCACGCACATGCATCATGCATGTACACACAGTATAATTATAAATATCTCTATTAAATTTACACTTTGAATCAAAATTAAATTTATACTTTGAATAAAATCAATAACCTTTTGATAGTTTCCAATGCAAAATATGTAACTCAGGTAAATTTTATCCGGTAAAAAAAAATAGTGTCCATTCAAAACAAATTAAAATATTAGGAAGAACAGTTATGAAAGAAATTAACAGACTAACAAAAAATGAGGAGAGGATGGGGACTATATATTAATGATACATACCTTCCTTGTTGAACGTTAGTACGCAATACTATATCGATGGAATGCAGCCCGAGGAGAATGATAATCAAATTAATCGTAAACATGATGGAAGCCATTTTCACTGCGGCTGATTTTCGAGCCATTTCTTCGGCTTTGATTAGAGATGTGTTAATTGTTCTTTTTCTAGTTCTTCGCAAATTGGGTAGCCTGATATCTCTTGTTTTATACACAAAGTTTGTTTGCTTGAAATTGCTATAAGGACATAGGTTTTGAAAGCATCCTCCTGAAGGGAATGTTTGATCGGGTCTTTAGTCTTTACAGCCACACATCAATTAATCTTTTGACATACTAAAGTGTCTACAATACTTTTACATTTATACTTTACACAATCTTTAGGTTGTTTTGGACTCGTTTCTTCTTTTTGGTTCGGCAATTGTTAATTTACATATTCAGTGGGGTTGAATAGTTCAATCTTTTGACTGCTTTCCATGGTTCCATGGTTTTGGTTCGCAAGAGCAATATCTATAATGATGATTCACGAAAGATTTCCTCTTATATATTTTATGAAAATTAATGTCGTCTTTAGAGTAAAGAGCATACATTCGGACATCACATTTATGCATGAGAGGTTGCAAAACTTTTAACCTGTTTTTTTTTTTTTTTTTCAAAGAAAACCGTATTACTATATAGTACTTTTACTTTATTATGTTGACTTATTAGTTATTACATATAGCGTTCAGATCATGTAACTAAGTCAAATATTCCCTCTAATTCAATCTGAACTATTTTTTAAAACACAGATATTAATTTTTTATTTTCATACTGATTAGGGTGATAAGGAACTTGTTCTTCATGTTGATTTTGTGGAACATGCATTTAAGCTTGACGCGCAAGAATGGTAATTTGTACTGTAGATTGAAAATGATGGAACTAAACTAGCCAAAGCAATTAATACAATATGAATATATGATGTACACATAGAGAAAATGAAATAGTAAATTAATTAAATTACAAAATTACCCAATTACGATTTTATACGTAAAATACACGAGATAATCCATTCCTTTTGTACATATGCCATTGTACATTCTTCGTTGACTATTTTATTTCACCCTCTCCATTCACCATTCGTATCAGCTTTGTAGAGGTTACTTCATTGGACCCGAAGGAGATCCAGGTTTGGATACACTGCAAAGAGCCAATGACCGAATGTGAAGAAACAGAAAAACAATCGGGAAAAAAAAAAGAAGAAAAAGAAAAAGGTATTGTATGCACAGTACAAACTAATAGAGAGAACGTCATATTTTCTCTTAGTTTTTTGCCGGGAAAATAGGAGGAAGAAGAAAGAATTGAAAAAGAAAGAGGCAGAAATTGAGCTACTTACCCTCCTTGTTGAGTGTTAGCACGAAATACTACTTCGATGGAATGGATGCCAAGAACGATGATCAAATAGGCCATAAACTGCAAGATGAAAACCTCTTTGGATAATTTCCCAGCCATTTGTTTGGCAATTTTATGCTATGTATATATTGATATTGTTCTTCTTCTTCATTTCTTCGCAAAATTTGTGGCGTCCGAGCGAAGTTGGGGAATGGTATCTTCTTTTATACGCAGAATTAATTTGTGTGTAGCTCCCAGGAATTGGTCCTGTCAACGTTTTTAAATTTTCTATTTGGGATTAATTAGCTAGGTTGAATGGTTCAATTTTTAGGGGAGTCGTAATTTCTTCTCTTTTTCAGTCATTCAATTTTCTACATATGGAGATTCAGTGGTAGGGTTGAAGAGTTCAGTCTTTTGACTCCTTTCAAAACAATGTAACCATTGAAATATTAAATTAGATTTGAATTCTTTCGAGTTGCATGTGATTAACTTCTTAATTACTACTTCTTCGCTCCTAAGATATTCATTATCCAGTAGTTTTAATTTCAAGTACAATCTTGTATTCGGCCTTAAAATCCAAACTAGGAACAATTATTTGGAGATTGACGGAGTAACATTACAAATTTTTCCTCTCGAGAGTAAAAAACACATTTTAGTAACATACAACATTTAAACTGACAATTTTGTTGTACACTATTACATATGCAAAGTACATGATAAGTACGCTACATATGTGTCTTCTTATAATTGGTATCTATATTTTTCACAAAGTAGCATCACATATTTCCGTTAAAACATAATATATTTTCCGTATTCAGGTTTGTGGACGTGTCGTGAATAATAGAGAATTCATACTAGAGATCTAGCTAGCTGTCGATCGAGATTAATGCGAACCTGGAGGAGAGTCTGGTTTGGGAACACTGCAAGATACAATCACAAAGATTGTCAATGAACACATGATGAAAAAAAATATTATACTCCATCCATCTTACCGACAAAAAGAAAAAAGTTCATTTTCTTACTATCTCCGTCCAAAAAAATAATACATTTTGAGTTTTACATTTTTTTTAAGTACAAATTTGAAAACTCAATGTGAATTACTTATTTTAGGACGGAGGGAATACATTTTTAGGATGATTGTGGGTTTTGAAAGAGCGGGGTCTTCATTACAACTATTTCTAAGAGAAACAAATCACAAATATCTTCTAACAAGCCCAGAAGATAATACCTCCCCCAAAAAAAAAAAAAAGAAAAGAAATTCAGATGATTTTGGGAATTCATGTGATTATGTATATGGCATGATGAAGAAGCAATTAATGTGAAGAAACTGTAACCAGTTAGCTAAAAATTTGTAACGTTGAATCATACCTCATGCTGATACTCCATCATTTTGTGGAGGTAGGGAGTATTAACTATATATGTTTGATTTATTATATATATATATATATGTATATATATATTATATTCAAATTCCTTTTGTCCCAAAATAATTATCATTCAACAAATCATTTCGAAACATAACAATACTATCATAGTACTCACCGTCCGGGAGTTTCACCATCCCAAGACAGTAATTTTCGTCCTGCTGTTGATGAAGCGCCAAGCGTTTGGAACAAAACCGTGATCCATAAAATTACCACGAGGATGCGCGCAACGGCACCAAAGACTGTGGTTCTAGCCATTCTTGTCATATTTCTAAGACGGTTAAAATTTTTTTTTCTCACTGATTAATTAGGTTAAGTTCTGTATTTATACGTAGGAGTACCAGCTAGCTAGCTAGTGTAGAAGTCTACATTTATGGACAAATTAAGAAGTAAACTTTATTGTCCAATTTTTTGAGACACATATTTCACGCGTTTCAGTCAATATTCCACAATATAGATTGTAAATAATGAAAGAGTGTTGAATGCATACATGAAATTAACCGTGTTCAATACTATTGATGACCTAGTATAAGTTTCTTACATTAATGAAGCGAAATATAGATGATATTGTATTAAAAGGAACGTGGTAGTTACGTACCTACTCCTCCGATCTTAATAACAAGAAACAAATTTAAATTTATGTCTTATAATTTGAATTAGAAAGAGTACTATGTTACCAAAATTCTCATCATTCAGATAGTCCTAACGGCTTGTAGGCGTTGGATGCACCTCTGCAAGGATGAAGTTGTGGTAGCAACACGATACGATCGGTGTTGCTTATTTACACACAATTGTTATTTAGATATTTAGGCATTTTTCTCTTTTTATTGTACTAAAAAAATTCTTAAAATTCAATGATGGAATTATTATTATTGTTTTTGGCCCAACAAGATAAAAAGAATAGTCATACAGGGCTGCATGTAGGCTGTGCTTTGAAACATACATGTTTGTTTTTCTGTGTATGTTTTTTATATATATTGGAATGTAAAAAAAACACACACACACAAACACACAAATTGGAAACGTAACAATTGCAGTAAAAATTTCTGGGAAAGAAAAAAAAGAAAAGAAAATGACTTATAATATTAATTTTTTTTTCTCCCTCTCCACTATCTATACGTGTTAGATTATAGTTCTGCTTATGTTTTGGTTTGTTATGATTGGAATGGATTATCCTTCTACTACCGATACTATTATATTAGCGTTCAGATATGTAAGTTAGTGATCAAAAGCTTTTAATTTGTAATTACTTCAATCCTTGTTATAATGCATTTTGATTTATTTTAGGTTTCATCTAGTATATTTTTTTAATTGGAAAAAAATTTTAAAAAATATTTTCTAATAATTAGAATATAAATGTGAAAATGTATTTTTAAAGACTTTATTTCAATCAAAAAACATATTAAAATTTAGAACAAATCAAAATATCTTATAATAAGGACCGGAGGAAATACTGATTTGGGGTCGACAAGGAACTTGCTCATGTTGACCTTGCTGAACATATAGTTAGTAGCCAGACACGCCTAAAAGTTATATAATTAAAATAAATTGGAACCTATGTTTTGAAAATCGGACCGGAAGGTGAACCGTTAGCGTGATCGGGTTGGTAGATTTACCGGATTAATCGGTTAGCTCATTCATCGAAACTAGTAAAAATTGATTAAAAATAATATCGGGTTGGTAGATTTACCGGATTAACCGGTTAGCTCATTCCTCGAAACTAGTAAAAATTGATTAAAATAATATTAAAAAAATATTTAAAAAATATATGTAACGGTTTAACCAGTATCGGTTTCCGGGTCCGGTTTTGAAAACATAGATTGGAACCGAAATTGCCGAGGAAATGAATAATTTGATAAATAACAACGAAAGTTGTGGTTGACATGGAGTACTGCAGACGATGTATACAGAAAATAAAAAATAATTAAAGATTCATTAATAAAATGACTAAGTAAATGGCCGAGTTAAGATCTTTACACAGAGAAATGTAAAAAATAAGTAAATCTCTTACACACATTTATCCATCGTTTACTATACTATTTTACTGTCTCAGTTCTCAATTCTCCAACCATATATCTGCATCATATAGATTATATTTGACCCGGAGGAGATCCTGATATGGGTACACTGCAAATTAAGTGCCAAAGAGTCAATAAATAAATGTGAAGAAACAGAGAACCGTAATTAAAAAAGAAAACGAATGAATACACACAGTGCAAACTGTTTTCTCCATCAAGGAAATTGCATATGTAACACTTGGAAAACTATAATTTCACGGGAAAATGTACATAGATATATGTGTGTCATTAACCGGGGAAATGAAAATGATACTTACCCTCCTTGGTGAGTATTAGCACGAAATACTACTTCGATGGAATGGATGCAAAGAATGATGATCAAATTTACCATAAACTGCAAGTTGAAAATCGCTTTCATATTGAATGATTTCTCAGCAATTTGTATGGCGATTTGATGCCAAATAATGTTGTTCTTCTAATTTCCTCTGGATAATTATGGCGTCCGATCAAAGTTGGGGAATGGACACTTCTTTTATACCCGGAGTGCTAAACATTTTTTAATTTTCTATTTACAGATTCAATAGTTTGAACTTTGAAGACTTTAATTTTTATTTTTTTTCCAACTCGTTTCTCTTTTGGTCGTTCAATTTCCTATTTATAGATTCAGTTGCATGCATTGAATAGTTCAATCTTGGACTGTTTTCTTGTTCCAATTTTTGACTGGATTCTTAACCCCCAATGGACCGATTCTTAATTTTCGTTTTCTTCTTAAATAGTGCTCGCTCTCTTTTAATGTTTTATTTATACTGCCATTTAGATTTGACTGCGTTCTTCGCTTTGTTATTATAGGAAGTCCATTGGGAGTTTATTTTTATTTTTTTATTTTTTACAATAAAAGAGGCAACGACACCCAGAAATTAAACAAGAACATTACGAGGATTAGTCACCCCGATTACATCATGTTATAACCAAGGCATGGCACCCGAAGATGGAACATGTAGCCATTGCATATCTCCTGAACCTTGAACTGTCAATGCCGTTAAATAATTAGCAACAAAATTCGCCTCTCAAAACACATGAGTGGCCTCCACTACCCAATTATGCTTCAACAGATCTCTAATACCGTTCATAAGGCCAACATTTAACCCTACAATCACCTTCTCACCTTGTATCATTGCTCATATTATCTATTTTAGCAATTATTTTACGATCACCAATCTCCCACGCCAGTGTCAAAACCTGAAACAATCCCCATAAGTTTGCTTCGGTAATTGTGCAAAAGCTAATATTCATCGTAAACCCGCCCAACCATCTCCTGTAACTATCTCTGGCAACACCGCCTGCACTTGCCATGCCGTTGTTACGATTAAAGCTCCCATCTGAACTGACCTTCATCCACTCCATTGGAGAAGTATGCCAACGGATCAATCGTGTTTCCTTCTAAAAATGTAAATTCCGTGGCAGTGTATGATGAAAAAGAAAAATAAAAGAAGAAAGAATTAATTTGGCACAAGTAACAGTTCAAAGATAGGTTGGTGGCTACTTAAGCATGACAAAAGCTGGTCATGGATGACCATTTCAATCAACAACATACCCTAATAATCACGTCCTCAATTTCGTAGGTTAAAAACAAAACACTAAATGGATTGAAACAAGCTTTTACGTATGTATGCATAGGAAACCACTCTCATTGAACATCTTACTCACTCTGTCTCCATAAAAATAATTTACATTATAATTTCTCATTTGTATTTTTTATAGTACAAATAACAAATTACAATGTGTACCCCTTTTTTTTACTAGAAGGAATAGTATTACTTTTTTTTTTTTGGTAAATTGTTAATCATTGTATTACTTCTCACTTAACAACTGAAACTGTACAATTTTCTATCTATTACATCTTCAAAAATTTTGCACTTGAACACCAAGGTGAGCTAGCCATTTCTGATGTTTCCTTTTCACTGTCTTGCACTTTGATTGTATACTCCATTTCACAGTCCTTCTTATCTCCTCCAACCTCACCTCTGCCTTCAATTCTTTCTGTCCAAACCTGCGTGCATTCCTTTCCATCCATACACCATAAATGAGACCATTGATGCCAACAAACAACACTTTCTGCCTCAGTGCATTTCCTTGCCAGATTTTCAGCCACCTGTGTACATTGAGTTCTGATATGTCATTCCTGATTCCCATCCAAGCCTTCCATCCCTGTAACAGCTCTTGTGCATAAGCACATTTGAAGAACAGATGGTCTATACTGTCCAAATCTTTCCCACAGATACTGCATTCCTGCTGCTCCACTGATATTTGCAATTCCTGTAGCTTCTTTGCTGTGATCAGCCTTTTTTTCCAAGCTAACCAGCTAATAAAGCTGTGCTTAGGGATACTAAACTGACTCCAGTTGATCTTGGATGCTTTGCTTTTACTCTTTTCTCCCCTGATCCAGTAATAACCTCCCTTTGCAGTGTAGATTTTGCCACCTTTCCCTAACCATTGGTCCTGATCAATGCCACTGTGCAGCAGTTCCTTAATTCTCATCAGTTTTTTCATATGCCAACTACTGTCATGTGGACATTTGAAGCTCCATAGTTCCCTTCCTTTCAGATAGAAGCTGTGCATCCATTTCACCAATAAGCTTTCTTTGTTCTTAGATAAATCCCACAGTTGCTTTCCCAGTAAAGCCATGTTCCAGTATCTTGGTTCCTTGAAGTTCAGGCCTCCTTCTGTTTTCCTGCAACATAAATCATCCCAAGAAACTAACGGCAGCATTTACCATTTTCTTTTGTTCCCCAGAGGAATCTCCTGCATTTGCTGACCACCTGTTGTATGACATTTTGAGGGATAAGGAATATATTTGCCCAGTAAGAGTTAATATTCAGTAAGACTGAGTTAACTAACACTGTTCTCCCTGCATAGGAGAGATGTCTTGAACTCCAGCAGTTAATTCTTGCAGCAATCTTGTCCACCAGTGTTTGACACTCTACTTTTGACCATGCTGTGAGAGAAATTGGCAAGCCAAGGTACTTCATTGGAAAACTAGCTTCTTCAAATCCAATGATCTTCTTTATCTCCTCTTCTATTTAACTTGTCTTTCCACCAAAGTATATATTGGACTTTGTTAAATTAACAGAAAGCCCAGTAATTTCCTGAAACTGAGATAATACTCCTTTAATCCGTCTAACTGTTTCAACATCAGCTCCACAAAAGATTAGTAAGTCATCAGCAAAGCATAGAGATATGATCTT